TTTGGCCGCCTGACGGACGCTTGGCGTCACCAATTCCCTAAGGCCTCTGAGATCCCTCGCTAGGGCGAGCTGTCTCGAGCGGGAGTAGCTATCTTTGACCTTGACTTTGATGCTATTCTTGCTGCCATGTATGCTATGACTATTGGTGAGGAGGGTGACTGTTACCTGTGTTTTCCGCCCGACCCGGGCATTGAGACTGCTTCTATAGGTACAGGTGAGGCTGCTGCTCTAGGTGCTAGCAAGGCTGCTGCTCTAGGTGCTGGTGCGTCTGCTTCCTCAGGTGCTGGTGAGTCTGCGCTCTCAGGTACTGCGTCGGCTTCGGCCTCCCACACCTTCACACTTGACTCGGGGGCTTCTCGGTCCTTCTTACTAGACCGCACCACACTTACGGCGCTTGGTCGGCTAGTTGCAGTATCTCTGGCAAGCCCCTCTGGGGGTCCTGTCCTTGCTCACTTCTCCACTGTCCTCCTGTATCCGGTGGCCCCCTTTGGCACCCTGTCTGGTCTTTACCTCCCCTCGTTCTCTACGAACTTGGTGATTTGTGCTGACCTGCAGGATGCGATGGTTCACCAGTTCACTCGTGCGAGTCAGCGGGTGACCCACAGCACAGACGCTTGGACAGGCCGACACCTAGCCACGTTTACACGTCGGCCGGGGTCGAGCCTGTACACACTGACCACTGAGTCTCCTCCAGTCAGTGCGTCTCATCAGGTAGCTGCGGCGGGTCAGGTGTTTGCTGCAGCGTCCAGATCTGGTCCTGAGTCTGCCCCCTGCCTCCTGTCTCACGAGACTCTCCTCTTGCACCACCGCCTTGGTCACCCCTCCCTGCTTCATCTCCAAGGCATGGCCTCCCGTGTCCTTGTCTTTGGTCTTCCCCGGTCCCTCCCTCCCCTTCCTCCGTGGCCTGCCCCTACCTGCGTCCCTTGTGTCGAGGGTCGGCAGCGGGCTGCCCCTCACTCCTCCCAGTTTCCTCCGACAGAGGCCCCACTGCAGACGCTTAACATGGACGTGTGGGGCCCGGCCCGCATCCGTGGACAGGGTCAAGAGCGCTACTTCCTGATTGGTGGTTGACGACTTCTCGCGTTACACCACAGTCTTCCCCTTGCCCAGCAAGGGTGATGTCTCTGAGGTGTTGATCGACTAGATCCGCGCACCTCGTCTCCAGCTCAGGCAGAGTTTCGGCTCAGACTTTCCCTTTTTTGCGTCTGCACTCTGGCAGAGGCGGAGAGTTCTCCTCTGACCTTCTGCGAGCCTACTATCATGCACGAGGCATCCGCAAGACCTTCACGCTTCCGGACTCTCCACAGCAAAATGGGATTGCTGAGCGCCGCATTGGCATGGTCATGGACGTCGCCCGTACGTCCATGATGCATGCGGCTGCCCCCCATTTTCTGTGGCCGTTTGCGGTTCAGTACGCGGTGCATCAGATCAACCTTCAGCCCAGGGTCTCCATGCCGGAGACCTCCCCAGCTTTGCTTTGGACGGGGAAGGTTGGCGATGTGTCTGCGTTCCGTGTCTGGGGATCTCGGGCGTTTGTCCGCGACTTGTCTGCGGACAAGCTGTCCCCTCGTGCTGCTCCTTGCGTCTTCCTTGGCTTCCCCCCTGACGCGCCAGGGTGGCAATTTTTCCACCCCACCTCTCGTCGTGTTCTGTCCTCCCAGGACGTCACGTTTGATGAGTCGGTCCTCTACTACCGCCTCTTCCCCTACCGCACTCCGTCCCTCCCCCCGCCACCGCTCTTCCTTGTGCGAGGTCCCCCCCCGGTAGACCCCCTCCCCCCTCAGGGTCCTGCCCCTTCAGGTGTGTCCCACGTAGACGCAGTCAAGCCTGTCAAGGTTGCTGGTGACTCTGGTGCTACTGAGGGTGCTGAGTCTGGGGGTGCTGACTCTGGGGGTGCTCAGCGTGTGGGTGCTACGCCTGGGGGTGCTGAGCTTGGGGGTGCTACTACTGGGGGTGCTGAGCCTGGGGGTGCTACGACTGGGGGTGCTGAGCCTGGGGGTGCTACGCCTGGGGGTGCTGAGTCTGGGGGTGTGGAGTCCGAGGGAGCTAGGCCTGCTCGTGTCGCGTCTGGCGGTACCGAGCCTGCAGGTTCTCTGGGTGCTTCGTCTCGGCGGGAGCCACTCTCTCCACAGGAGATGCCTGAGTGGTTTGCCCAGCGCTAGAGGTGTGCTGCTGGAGCTGGAGGTTCTTTGGCTGCTGAGGGTATTGGTGCCGCAGGTCCTAGAGGTGCTCGTACTAAGGGTACTGGAGCTGTTGGGCCTGCGGGTACGACTGGAGCTGAAGCTGCTAAGGGTGTCGGTCCTGGAGGCGGTCTTGCTGGGGGTGCTACTTGTGCTGCTCGAGGTACCGGAGCTGGAGATGCTGCTGGCGCTGGTTCTACCGCTGGGGGTACTGGTGCTGTCCCTGCTGTGTTTGGAGCCGCCGCGTGGCCTCGGCCGTACTTCGTTCCGCTCCTTCAACAGGTTCTTGATCTCCCGCCTTCTACTCGTCCTCCTCCTCCCTTAGAGTGTCCACAGCCTGTCCTGTCACAGTTACAGTTACAGCCGGCCTCCCCACTGCCTGCTCCGTCTCCCTACACTGGTCCTACTGGAGGTCTTGCTGAGCGTCGTGAGCCTGCGTCTCGCCCTGTGTCGCGTGTCCGTGCTGCTCGCACTAGTGGTTGCGGTTTGCGTCAGCGTCCTCCTCCTGACCCTAGTACGCACCGGATGTCTCTACGTCCGTCCACTGCTCCTCTGTGTGCCCCTTTGCCTTCTCCTCCTGAATATTCTCTTCCTGCTCTTGCCGACCCGAAGTCGGACTCTCTTCGTGCTGCCAGTCCTACTGTCACGCGTCTCCTTGCTACTGTTGTCACTGACCCTTCCTTTGAGTCCACTGCTGCGTCTGCCCTAGTTGCGGCTAGTCTACGGTCTCCGCCAGGCACCGCGTGAGTGGCACGACTCACTGAGGACTGCACTTGCGGCTCTTGGGTTTGCTCCCTCTACTGCCGACCCGTCGCTGTTTCTGCGCACCAACACTTCTCTGCCGCCGTTCTACATCCTCGTGTACGTCCACGACTTGGTCTATGCCACAGCTGACACTGCTGGACTCGCCCACATGAAGTCCGAGCTTCAGAAGAGACACACGTGCACACATCTGGGTGAACTGCGCAGCTACCTTGGCTTGTAGATCACCTGGGACAGGGCACGCCGCACCATTACCCTGACTCAGTCACACATGGTGCAGCAGGTCCTTCAGCGCTTTGGCTTCACGTACTCCTCGCCTCAGGCCACTCCTCTGCCTACTCGCCACTCGCTCTCAGCTCTGCCTTCGGATGAGTCCGTAGAGTCGAGTGGCCCGTACCCAGAGCTTGTTGGCTGCCTCATGTACCTGATAACCTGCACACGACCTGACCTTGCATACCCTCTTAGCATTCTCGCACGCTATGTTGCTCCTGGGAGACACAGACCGGAGCACATGGCTGCATCGAAGAGGGTGTTGCGCTACTTGTGCAGTGCGTCGGGCATGGGGCTTGTGCTTGGAGGGCAGAGTCTAGTGGTCCTCACTGGGCACGCAGACGCTTCTTGGGCTGACGACCAGGCTACACAGCGGTCGTCACAGGGTTACACCTTCAGCCTTGGTTCCGGCTCTGTTTTGTGTTGGGCTACGCGCTGGTCTTTTATTCTCTGCTCCAGCTCTGAGGCTGAGATCTACGCAGGAGCCATGGCTGCACAGGAGCTTCGCTAGCTCACCTACCTGCTGACTGACCTCGGAGAGCCGCCTTGTTCTCCTCAAGTGCTCTACGTAGATAACAAGGCCATGCTGGCCTTGTGTCGGGAGCAGAGACTGGAGCACAGAACGAAGCACATTGCTCTTCGCTACTTCCTTACTCGTAAGCTACAGCAGCGTGGTCAGCTGCGTCTTGCGTACGTGGCCTCTGAGGCCAACACTGCTGATATCTTCACCAAGGCACTTGCGCCTTGTGATTATCAGCGCTTCTGTACTCAGCTGGGTCTTGTGCCTGCCTTGCCTCACCTGCTCACCCCTTGACCTTGTTTGTACTGTTACATATATATACACTTGCTCTAACTTGTCTAGCCATATATATATGTAATCCTGCATGTGAACTGGCGTTGTGGCCTTGAATTTGTGCTCGGAATGTGTGGTGACTTTGTGATCCACTCTGAGCTTGCTTTGCTTTGCTTGACTGGTCTTGTGACCCCTTGTTCTCCCCCACTTTGCCTATGGGGTTGTGTCAGATTTATATGACATAGCTGATGTAGGCTTTAGTGGGGTAGCACATATGGGGTACAGCTTTCTAGGGTCTGTACTTGTACCCAACATTCCCTTAGTCAATTTATTTTCGTTCATTTTCTCACTGACTCGTTACAGAGGAGTTGCCCGAGTCGTCACTGTATCGAACCGCAACAGCAACAGTAAAGTAGTTATAAGTGTATCTTTTCATATTCCTTGTACTCTCATATATTCTTGTATCTCCTTGTTTTAATCAATCTACTTTGCCCTCAAATACTAGCACAAGTTGGTTCACAACTCTTCATTAAACGCTACCGCTATTACATCAGTCCTACCAGGAGTTTAGTCCTGTAAAGATCCTAAGGGCTTTTCTCGGCCCAACATTAATGTGTTTGTTTATGATTCCATTGCTTAACTATGTGTGAATATAGAACCATTGAGTGTCTTTTTTATAAGTAGTTTATAAAATTTAGTAAACAACTATGTTTTATATCCTCAATAGTATATTTTGTAACACTAAACTATCCGGTTCTTGCTCTAGCAAAAGTGTGGTTCAAATTGAGCTGGTTTCCAGCTCACACAAATTTTACGTGATGTGCCGTGTGTTCTCACATGGCACCAGCGTTTGGTTTTTGTTTTGAATTCCAAGTGCCCAAGTTCTGTGCTGGCTTTCAGATTGCCCCAACGTTTTCGTGTATCTTGTTTGGCACTCCCTCCCACCTTGTCATCACTTCTCCCCCACCAGCTGTTGCCACACCCTCCCACCCACCATGTCATCGCCTCTCTCTCCCACCCACTTTTCCATCGCTACTCCCTCCCACCCTGCCATCCTCTCTCGATTCCAGCCCGCCATCCCCTCTCCCTCCCATGACGCCGAGGCCTCTCCCTCCCTCCCGCCATCGCCTCTCCGTTCCTCCCGCCGTCGACTCTCCCTCCCTCCCGCCGTCGCCTCTCCCTCCTCCCCGCCGTCGCCCATCCCTCCTCCCCGACGACGCCTCTCCCTCCTCCTCGCCGTCGCCCATCCCTCCTCCCCGCCGTCGCCTCTCCCTCCTCCCTGCCGTCGCCTCTTCCTCCTCCCCGCCGTCGCCTCTCCCTCCTCCCCGCCGTCGCCTCTCCCTCCCTGCCGTTGCCTATCCCTCCTCCCCGCCGTTGCCTCTCCCTCCGCCTCACGGTCGCCTTTCCCTCCCATCCGCCATCGCCGCTCCCCCCCGTCCGCCGTCGCCACTTCCTCCTCCCGCCGTCGCCGCTCCCTCCCATCGGCCGTCGCCGCTCCCTCCTCCCACCGTCGCCGCCCCCTCCCATCCCCCCTTCGCCTCTCGGTCGCTTCCCGCTGTCGCCTCTCCCTCCCATCCTGCCGCCGACTCAGTCGACAGGTCACGAGCAAGCTGGTGCGCGAGTGGGAGCTGGTGCGCGAGCGCGGGTTTGACTCTTCACCATGAATTGCAGGTGCGTTTACCTTTCCCTGTCCTTTTTTCCTCCCTTCCCCTACTGAAAGGTCCTATATTTCTGATTTTTTCTATCGTATTTGTAGTTTCTGTGTGTTGATTGGTCTCTTGCATTGCACTACTATTTGAAGAGGGGGGAGAGGGAGCGCGAGGGAGCGAGAGTGCAGGAAAGTGCGCGCGTGAGAGCTAAGGAAGCACTAGAGGGAGAGGCGCGAGAGAGAGCGCCGTGCGCGCTTGTGCCGTCGGCGTGGGCCCTATTGGCACTTGTGCCTAGCCGCTTGCGCTTAGGGCGCTGGGGCCGTGGGCGCAAGCGCCGTGGTTGCTGGCGCCTAAGGCGCTTGCGCATATGGCGCAGACGCCTTGGCCGCTTGCGCCTAAGGCCCTTGCGCCATGGGCGCTGGCGCATAAGGTGCTTGCGCTCAGGGCGCTGGCGCCGTGGGCGCTTGCTCCGTTGGCGCGGGCTCCGTGGGTGCTAGCACCTAACGCGCTTGCGCTTAGGGCAAGCGCCGTGGGTGCTGCCCCATGAGGCGCTGGCCCTGTGGGCGATTGCGCCGGTGGCTCTGGCGCCTTGGGCGCGAGCACCGTTTGTGCTGGCGCCTAAGGCGCTGGTGCAGTGGGCGCGGGCGCCGTGGGCGCTTGCACTTGCTAGCGGTTGGGCACGGGCGACGTGAGGGCGAGACTTGGATGTGCACGTGCACTTGCGGGTGAGTGCGGTTGTGAGTGCAAGGGCAAGTGTGAGTGTGAACGAGAGAGCAGGTGCGAGCGTAAGCACGAGTGTGAGTGCGAAAGCTATTGTGGGAGCGAGTGCCAGGGCGAGTTTGAGGGTGAGTACGAGTGTGAGTGTGTGTGAGTGCAAGGGGGAGTGCGAGGGTCCGTTTGAGTGTGTGCTAGGGTGATTACGAGGATGAGTGCAAGAGTTAGTGTGTGCGTTTCTGTGATTGTCGAAGAAGAGTTAAGAGTACATCACATGTGTTTGATGATGGCACCTACGTCGACGAGGTTCCCCCTCCTGGGGCGAACATCGTCAGTGGCATGTGGATTTCCAGGGTGAAGCGGCCGCCAGGTTCTCCGCCTGTCTTCAAGGCTCGTTACATTGCTCGAGGCTTCAGTCAGCGGGAGGGAGTCGACTTCTTCCAGACCTTCTCCCCCACCCCCAAGATGACCACTCTTCGGCTACTGCTGCACGTTACTGCTCAGCGTGAATACGAGCTTCACTCTCTTGACTTTAGCACATCCTTCTTACAGAGCAGCCTGCACGAGGAGATCTGGCTGCGCCGCCCACCAGACTTGACTCGTTCGTTCCCTCCTGGTACCCAGTGGAGCCTCCGGCGGCAAGTCTACAGTCTCCGCCAGGCGCCGCGTGAGTGGCACGACACACTGAGGACGACACTTGCGGCTCTTGGGTTTGCTCCGTTGACTGCTGACCCGTCGCTGTTTCTGCACACCAACACGTCGTTGCGGCCGTTCTACATCCTCGTGTACGTCAACGTCTTGGTCTTTGCCACTGCTGACACTGAGGCTCTCGCTCTGGTGAAGTCGGAGCTGCAGAAGAGACACACGTGCACAGACCTGGGTGAACTGCGCAGCTACCTTGGCTTGCGGATCACCCAGGACAGAGCATGCTGCACCATCACACTGACTCAGACACACATGGTGCAGCAGGTCCTTCAGCGCTTCGGCTTCACCTGGTCCTCGGCACAGGCCACTCCTCTAACGACAGGTCACTCGCTCTCAGCTCCACCTTCGGACGAGTCCGTAGAGCCGAGTGGTCCTTACCCAGAGCTAGTGGGCTGCCTTATGTACCTGATGACCTGCACTCGTCCTGACCTTGCATACCCTCTTGGCCTTTTGGCTCGCTTCGTGGCTCCTGGTCGGCACCGAAAGGTGCACATGGATGCTGCAAAGAGGGTACTACACTACTTGTGCAGTACATTGGGCATGGAGCTCGTGCTTGGAGGGAGGAGCTCAATTGTTCTCACTGGGCACTCAAACCCTTCTTTGGTTGACGACCAGGCTACGTAGTGGTCCTCACAGGGTTACACCTTCAGCCTTGGCTCTAGTTCAGTTCCTTGGCGTTCTATACGCTCGTCTTCTGTTCTCAGCTCCAGTTGTGAGGCTGAGATCTACGCCACAGCCATGGCTGCACAGGAGTGTGAATAATCTAACAAGGCTAAGGAGCCATAGCTAGTAGGCCGAGTGAATTGAGTATCGAGCAAGTTGGAAAGGAGGTCGAGAGGAATGATGTTTCACTAAAGAGAATGGCAAGTACAAATAGGTAAACAGCAACACAAGGAGGTGCACCACCAAACATGATGCAATAACTACACTACAACTGCAAACAATTATATAAAATATGTAAACATATTTTGACAAGGAGTTACGCTGGTTTACCTACCTACTGACCGACCTGGGAGAGCGGCCTCGTTCTCCTCCAGTGCTGTACGTTGACAACAAGGCCGTCATTGCCTTGTGTGAGGAGCACAGACTGGAGCATAGAACGAAGCACATCGCTCTGCGTTGCTTTCTGGCTTGAGAGTTGCAGCAGCGTGGTCAGCTTCGTCATGCTCACGTGGCCACTCGGGCCAACACTGCTGATATATTCACCAAGGCACTTCCATCTGGTGATCATCAGCGTTTCTGCACTTTGTTAGGCCTTGTGCCCACTTTTCCTCACTTGCTGTAGACTTTGCTTGTACTGTGATATATATATATATATATACCTGCATGCTTGTTCTGCTAGGTAGAGATCACTGTACTGCTGTTGTTGCACATATACCTCTGCATGCGAAATGGCCTTGTAGCCCTTTGCTTGTGCTCAGTGTGTGCACTGACGTTGTGATCCACCCTGAGCTTGCTTTGATTCTCTTGACTGGTCTTTTGACCCCTTGCTCTCCCCCACTTTGCCAATGGGGGTTGATTAGAGTATATATGCTATATATGTTTAGGCTGTAGTGGGGAAGCCAATATGGGGTACAACCCCTTTTAGGGTTTCATACTTGTACCCAACCCTTTCATAGTTCATTCATTCCTGCTGCTAGATTCTGACACACGGGTTACTTAGCACTGGTTATGGCAGCAACAGAGGAGGAGAAGCCAAGTTCAGAGCTACTTGCAGTAGTACAGGAGGTGTTGTGGCCTACCTCAGTAACAAGTTACACGGAGCAGAACTAAATTACCCCATCAATGAGAAGCAAGCCTTAGCGATAGTTATAGCCTTCAAGGCATGGAGGTGCTACCTAGAGGGAGTCAAGACTATAGTTTATACCGACCACTGCAGCCTCAAATACCTGAAGTTACTGCCGACGCTCTCACGACAACAGGTGCGGTGGGTGGACTTCCTGGAAACTTAATTCCACTACGACATCGTCTACAAGGCAGACGCGTTGAGCCACCTCGGTCATATAGCAGGCATCCAGCTGGGTTACTTCCGCCACTACCATACCAGAGCAGCCATGGCAATTCGTTAGCCTCGACTTCATCACGGAACTTCCTTCGGCCTCACGAGGGCATGACGCTATACTCGTGGTGATCGACAAGTTCTCTAAAATGGGTCACTTCATCCTCACCAACGCCACGACTACAACTGAAGCAACTGCTTGCCTATTCTTCGACCGCATCATCACCATCCACGGCATCCCCACTACACTCATCTTAGACCGAGACCCCAAATTCACTAGTAAGTTCTGAAAGGAGCTCATGGGACTGTTGGGGACTAAGCTTGCGATGTCTTCAGCATACCATTCCCAAACTGGCTCACAGAGAGAGCGACTAAATCAGGTGGTTGAACCGTTACAGCGCACAACTTGCAAAGACGACGTCAGCCACTGGGATCAACAGTTACTGACCCTAGAGTTCGCTTACAACTGTCAACATATATTTTATATGTGTTGTTTAGGTTAGTCTAGGTGTTACATTTCTACTTCGTTGCATGATTAGGGTTTGCTATATCTAGGGCTGTACTTCACATTTTCTGTCAATTCATTCTTATCGTAACATGGTATAGAGCTAGGTTCCCCCTAGGCGCTAGGCAAAATTTCTCTCGTTAGTCTATGGGCCCACCACCCGCGCGCCTCGTAGCAACCCATAGCCCGAAGCGCCCTGCCATGTAGAGCCCGAGTAGACCGCACCCCCCGTTGACATCACACGTTACCCGTTTCTGCCCTGCGCCCCACCCGTTTTTGCCATGCGTCACTCGGTTTTCTGCCCCGCGCCCCACTTGTTTTGCCCCGCGCGTTGCCCCCCAACCCTCTAGCGCAGAGTAGACGAACGCGCATAGATGCGCACGCAGCCTTAGTCGCACCCGTAGCTCCGCGCTAGTACGTCGCGACCGCACGCACGTGCAGCAACAGCCGCGCGCACGTGCAGCCCACCATCTTAACCACCCCCAGACCTGAAAACCCGCCATCCCAGACCTGATATATGCCGCCGAACCTGGAAACCCGCTGCCTTAGACCTGAAAACCGCCGCCCCAGATCTGACAACCGCCGCCCCACCTGGAAACCTGCTGACCCACCCGTTCCAGGCACCTCACCCGGAATCAACCGCCCCACCCAGTACTCTCCAACGCATTGAACCGCACAGAACCGCATAGAACTGCACCCGTGTTCCCCACCCGTAGCCTACTGCCTTAACAGCTGCCCCACCTAAAACCCGCCTCCCCACAAGCTACCAAACCCGCCGCCAGTAGCCCCAGCCAATTACACTGCCGCCAGCAGCACCAGCAGCATCGTAGGCTGCCCCCAGCAGAACCAGAAGCAGCATAGGCTGCCGCCAGCGCACCAGCAGCAACATTGGCTGCCCCCAGCAAAACCAGTAGCAGCTAAGGCAGCCCCTTGCAGAGCTAGAAGCAGCATAGGCTGCCCCTAGCGAGCCAGCAGCAGCATAGGCTGCCCCCAGCGCACCAGCAGCAGCTTAGGCTACCGCCAGCACACCATCAGCAGCATTGGCTGCCCCCTAGAGAACCAGTAGCAGCCTAGGCTGCCCCCCAGCAGAACCAAAAGCAGCACAGGCTGCCCCCAGCGCACCAGCAGCAGCTTAGGCTGCCCCCAGCAGAACAAACAGCAGCATAGGCTCACATGGCGTGTACTAGGGTTCTACAGCAGCAGGGCCAGCCGCAGCACTCCCGTCAGTGGGGGGCTACGGGTCCAAAGTGTGGCGCCCCCAGCAGTGGCTCAGCTAGCAGTAGGCGAGACATCGGCCCCTGCGGATACCGGGCCCTGACAGGCCCTGGTGCTGGCACTACCTACTAGATTCCTGACCACACTGCGTCCAGCTACTACCGTCGACTCGACGACCTCCACCGTGAGCGTTTTGGTCCTCACGCTATTACACAGCACTGGCCCTTGCGCCTTCGCCAGCACACTATTGCACCAGTTGAGTCTCACCTACCTGGTCTAGGACCTTTCCCGGCTGCACGAGTAGAGACCTGTGTTTCCAGTCTTGGTGCGTGTGTTGTTTCTAGTCCAGGCGTCTCTGAGGGTTTTTGTGTAGGAGCTGCAGCTACCACTAGTCTAGCTCCAGCCTTTG